ATGAGTCCCTCAGTTGTCCTCAGTGTGAAAAGATGGATCTCAAAATCATACAGTCATTGTTGGAAAGGGTTCAAACACACACACACGTTCTGAGTTCTAGTAAAATGTTCTTAGTTCACATGTGGCAAAAAGTTAATTTTGCATCATATTTATGAGAATTGATTTAAGAAAGCAGCAGATTTTGAGTCGTTTTCCTCTCTAACGTCTGACGCCGCACTGGTCTGTTGTGAATAAGGCGTATGATTTATTGTGCTGTTGATCTCTCTGGGGAGCTTCTGTGTCTTTGTCTCATTAATTTATGTTGTGTCATTTCAGAGCGAATGAGGATTCAAATGCAGATTTTAACACAAACGATTTGCTTACATTTACAAGCAGACACACACACACAAGCTCAAATACACACACACTAAGAAAGTGAAAGATGAAATATAATCTTAATATAAGACAACAAAGCAGGCAAAGTGATAATTAATTGCCTGTTCTTACACAGACAGATATTTAAATTACAAACTGTGGAGGTTTTGAAACAGACAAAGAGTGTGTGCACTCACAAACACACACACACACACACACACACAGAGGTTTGTTTTTATGGTTTATGGGGACTCTCCATAGGCGTAATTGTGTTTCCATGTTTTATGGGGACATTCCATAGGCGTAATGGTTTTTATACTGTACAAACTGTATGTGCTATTGCCCTACACCAACCCTACCCCTAAACCTACCCCTTACGGGAAACTTTGTGCATTTTTACTTTCTCAAAAAACTCATTCTGTATGATTTATAAGCTTGTTTCCTCATGGGGACCTCAAAAATTTACCCACAAGGTCAAAATTTACTAGTATTACTATCCTTGTGGGGACATTAACGTGATAAATACCAGGTACACACACACACACACACACACACACACATTCCGTCATGCTCACAAAGCATGTCAGGCTTTAAAGAGGTGGCTGGCTGGATCAGACAAAACAACATCAAAGTCAAACCATAATCATTGCAGACACAAAGACACACATACACACGCATCACACCACACACTCGCCATACACGTTAGGAGGTATAGACTCATTCAAACATACATCAGAATACTTGCCAGAACAAATTAACAGTACATCTTTATTCCAGAAAGCTCCAGCAACCAAACCCATGATAAAACTACTATCAATTAAAAATAACATAAATTAGCAAGTAATTAATGGAATGATTGAAAGAAAGAAAGAAATAAAGAAAGAAAGAAAGAGAAAGAAAAGGATGGTTATTTTTTATATTTTAGAATTCATTCATGGCATATATGAAACAATAAGTATTTTTTTTTAAATAAATAAATTTTATGCATTTATTAATAAATAAATAATTTTACCATTATAAATAAATAAATAAATAAATACATGAATATATCAATTATTTAATTTGTGTGGTAATGCGGCATATGAAAGAAAAGAAAGAAAGAAAGAAAGAGACAGATGAAATAGTGTGGTAAGATCACATTTATTTGAATGAATTATAGCATTTATTTCAATTAATTATTAATCGAGAGAGAGAGAGAGAGAAAGAAACTTAATTACTTCAAAAACAGCGATTTTATCACCTCGTCGCTGAGGATTATAATTTAGCAATCTAGTATCTAGGCTATTTTATTAATAAAAATCGCGGGAAAGCGTTGACATCAAGTTTATGTGTGTGCGCAGCGCAATCTGCGATCTCCGACCTCTCTCTCTCTCTCTCTGTGTGTGTGTGTGTGTGTGCGAGAGATGTGTGTGGGTTTGTGTGCACATTAAAGCAACACATTAATATAGAATGGTGATTAAACTGACTTGGAACTACCTGTGCATTAAACGGTTTTACTGCATACCTGCCAGCCAATCAGAATCCAGTATTCAGACAGACCATGGAATAAATAGTAATAATTCACTAATTTATTTATTACCGCATACTAACCTTAAATTAAATAAATACATTGTCCCTATTTATTATCCCTATTCATCTCCCAAAATAAATAAATTAATTAATGAATATATAAATAAATAGTGGAAAGGCTGACAAAATCATTTGTAAAATGGCTTATGTTCAATAATATAGATTAACTTGAATAAATAATGTTTTGTTGTCAGTTGACAGTCCACATTCATGTTCAGAAAACTCACAGAGCACATTGAGAGTGTAGAAGTTGTTGACACCCTCGGACAGCACGTTACTGAAGGTCTGACAGGTGATCCTTTTCTTCCAGTGATGGGACTCAAGAGTGAGGGACAGCTTACTGGTTCGGGACATCCCGCCAAATTCAGCCTCGTCAGGAGCCTGGTCAACTCCCTTCAGCCTGAGAGAGAGAGAGAAAGAAAAGAAAATCAAGCTTCATAAAAGACATGAGACAATTTACAATGTTATTTCACATGGACGTTTAATAAAAGAAGAACAACTTCAAAAACCTCCCCTTGGAGTAACATCACAAAAATAGACTATGAATATTCGATAAAGACCTTCACAGTAACAGCATTCACCTGCTGTGAAATCTTTTTGTTTGCCCGACATAAGTTAGGGCCCCACAGGGACCATCCGACAAAACTGAAAACCTATAAAACTCGAAGCAGACCACTCCTCCGCTCACAAACACACTAGTTTTATAGCTGAATTTTTTTAGAAATAAAAGCTGAGCCATAACGTTTGGCTTAGCTGGTAAAAAAAAACTACAACTGATCTGCTCACAATAGCCGTAAAGTGTTTTCCTTCAACTGGCCACATATTGACAGCGCTAGAGACACTAACAAGCTAATGATTTAGTGATCACCAGCTGCCAGTCGAAACCTAATAGACACATTAAAAAAGGTCTCGGGATGGACTGCCAAACTTCCCATCAGCCTTTGCAAACATTTCACACTTACCTGCTTCTCCAAAGAGCTTTTATTGAGCCCTCCTGCACAAATTCTGCTCTTTTTGTATAGATACACATCAGACGTCAACAACTATTGCACACTTCTCAGCATTAAAAACGACCTGGGTAATTTTGGAGCCAAATTCACCTGAAATGCACATGTATTTGCCTGTGTTTTGTGGACCAAGGGGCAATTCTCTGCAGTCTGTTGATGTGAATAAATCAGCCGGACAGCAAAATCCCCTTGGGAGTGCTGGACTATGTAATACAGTATTAGCTGTGGGTGTGTGTGTATTTGTGCACGAGTGTTATGATGTGTAATGGAGTGTTTTAGTACATGACGGGGCCCAAACTCCAGCTGATATTTGCAGTGGGATTGCTGCTTCCAGCCAGGCAGTCCAGGTCCAGCATCTGACCCCTGCGCAGCTCCTGCTGCTTGGCCACGATTTTCACACTCACTGCCGGAACTGATTGAGAGACAATAACAAGAACAACTAATTAGAATGTGACTGATTCTAAGGCATATCCACAAAAGAAATTGTGAAAGTAGTCATTTACTTTCATACAAGAAACCAGATACTTTCATCCAAACTCTCAAACAAAACAGTTCTAACCCTATCCATTAACACCCCATACATGATTGATGAGGATATTACGATTAATAGATTCTTTATTAAGAAAATTTATGCTCGATGCACACATGAAATAGTTGTACTTGTTGAACACTTTTAGCATTTTGAACAAATAATGCAATAAAATAATTCAAAAAAATATAAATATATAACAGCATGTTATACATATATAAAGATACATCATATTTTTTTATATTCACTGATATGTTTTTATTTCATTATTTTTTTGTACTATTTAAATTTAAATGCACCAAAAAATATGATACATTTAAAGCACCATTTAAATGTTTGGGTACGCTAAGCCATTTTATGCTCACCAAGTTGTGAAATATTTTTACTATTTAAAATAACTGCTTTCTATTTGAATATATTTTAAAATTATTGCTGTGATCAAACCTGAATTTTCAGCATCATTTCTCCAGTCTTCAGTGACACATCCTTCAGAAATCATTCTAATATGCTGATTTGCTGCTCAAGAAACATTTTTTAATTACTATTATTAATATTTAAAACAGCTGAGTACATTTTTTCAGGATTCTTTGATGAATAGAAAGATCCAAAGATCAGTATTTATGTGAAATAAAAAGCTTTTGTAACATTATACACTATACCATTCAAAAGCTTAGGGTCAGTATAATTTTTATTTTTTTGGAAAATAAATTATAGAAATGAACACTTTTATTTAGCAAGGATGCTTTAAATTGATCAAAAGTGATGATAAAGACATTTATAATGTTACAAAATATTTCTATTTCAGATTGCCTAAATGCGGTTCTTCTGAACTTTCTATTCATCAAAAAACCTGAAAAAATTCAGGACACACGTCCCCCGCGTAATCAACGCCCCTGCCAAGGCTGTATATATTTTATTTTATTTGATAAAAAAAATCCTTCAAAAACTGTAATACTGTGAAATATTTCAATTCAAAATATATGTTTTATATTATAAAATGTCATTTTATTCCATGCGCCATTACTCTAGTCTTCAGTGTGACATGATCCAGCAGAAATCATTCTAATATGCTGATTTGCTGCTCAAGAAACATTTCTAACTATTATCAATTTTAAAACAGCTGTACTGCTTTATATTTTTGTGGAAATCACAATTTTTTTTTTTTCCAGGATTCTTTGATGAACAAAGTTCAAAAGAATTTTGAAAATTTCATTGAATATATTCTAAATCTTATGTCAAATTATAAATGTCTTTACGGTTTGATACATTTCATACATCCTTATAAATGTATAAAAAAAAACACCTTACTAACCCCAAACATTTAAACTGTAGTGTATATTTTAATAATTACGAAAATGTCTTGTTAGCTATTTTATAGCTTTCTTTCTTGTGCAATTTAAATTCAAATGCACAGCAAAACATGCTCCATTTATTTAAGATGTTTTATTATGCTATTACCATGCTTAACAGGAAAATACAAGAAATATAAATTGTACTATCATTTGTTGAATGACGTCTTTGATAAGTGACAAGGTATGTATTAACTGGCAACTAGCAAAGTTGAGAAGAGTAAAGAAGTACACCAAAATGAGTGGTTTCCCATCACAGTATGGTGTGTGTGTGGGTTTTAGAAACATACACAGAACCCTGAGTTTGGTCTGGGCGGTCAGAACTTTATTGGCTTTGTTGTAAGAGATGCAGCGGTAGGTGGCCAGATTGTCGCTGGGCTGGAGGATGAGATGCAGCTCTCGTGACACACCACGCTGTGAATACACATGCTTCGATGCAGTCTGCACGACTTTATTGTTCTGTAGTTCACACACAGACATGGAGGATTATTTAATGGAAGACCTATTGCAACAAAACATATTTGTAACTGTCATGAAAAACGTTCATACCACTACACACCTTCAACCAGACCAGCTGACCTGTGGGATTCCCACCACTGGAGAAACAGACCAAACGAAGAGTTGTACCAGAGTGTAAGAAGATGTTCGGTGGAGGAGCATCTAACCACACCTTCAGAGGAGGATCTAAGAAAAAACGAATGGGATAAGAGGAACAGGCATCAACTGAACTCATAATCAAATATCAGTACATTGCGGAGACATTTGCAAACAAACACATTATTACATTTGCATTTATTTTAGATAAGCTTTGATTCAGTTACATCGGGTTAAAGGTATACATTTTTCTCAACATACACTATCGTTCAAAAGTTTAGGATTGGTAAGATTTGTTAAACATTTTTGAAAGAAATCTCTCACGCTCACCAAGTTTGCATTTATTCAATTAAAAATACAATAAAAACAGTAATATTGTGAAATATTATTACAATTAAAAAAAAACTTTTATTTTTTAATATATTTAAAAATGTAATTTATTCCTGTGACGCAAAGCTGAATTTTCAGCATCATTACTCGAGTCTTCAGTGTCACATGATTCTTCAGAAATTATTCTAATATGCTGATTTGCTGCACAAGAAACATTTCTTATTATAATCAATGTTGAAAACAGTCGTGCTGCTTAATATTTTTGTGGAAACTGTAATATATTTTTGTTTCAGGATCCTACGATGAATAGAAAGTTCAAAAGAACATCATTTATTTGAAATATAAATCTTTTGTGATATCTTAAATGTCTTTATTGTCACTTTTAAACAAATCGAATGCATCCATGTTGAAAATGTCTTTAAAAAATGAAGTTTCTGTGAATCAAACCTATGACCTTAGTAGTTAAGCAACTATTTGTTGCTTAACTTGATTTATCAGGGATCATTCTACTTAAATGTTAGCTAAAAATGCTAGCGGTCACTCACAGTAAACGTTGAGCTCTTCAGAACGAACCCTAGAGAAGCGGGTGCCTTTATTGAACGCCTCACAAGTCAGAAAAAGACCGTTGTCCTCACGAGACACTGTATGCATCAGGTTAGACATTGTCATCATCCCACCATTATCCCCCTGCAACACAAATATTTCATATGAGAACTTTCTCTTTTATTGAGCATAATATATGGTCTATGAAAAGGGCTATTATAAGGAATGTAAGTGCACAAGAGTGGAAACATTAAATCATACTACCGTCATTTGCATTAAATGTTTAATCAGAGTTACTGCAGTTCATGTGATTTGATGATTAAATGCAAAGAAAATCATTTTGACAAAAGCGTTGGCGTCCATTGTGGCTCTTATAATCTCACTAAAAGCATTAACATATTTCAGTGAGGCAAATTTAGCAAAGCCACAATTTTGAAATGTTTTTAAGAGTTGAATACATAGATTAGACATTAGTGACCGAAAATGACTATAAAAACCATCTTATTTCTATATGTTCTTCTGGGGAAAGTAGTGAAAAGGAGCCTTACCTTGATCCTTTTCATTATTTTAATTGCCAATGTTTTTAATTCTGCTCATTTGCTAAGCTGATTGACACCTGCTTAGAGGGTTGACCCTGGCTTCATGGTTAATTACGGCCAAACTAATACAAAAGAAAAAAGTATCATAAAAAGCTCTGAGAGAAAATAGAAAAAAAAAATTAACACCACCATCTAAATGTAAGATCAGATGTAAAACACCTCCAAATGAACAAGGAGGGTTCTGTGAAGCGCCGAACAGCCTCGGGTCGGCTTTTATTCACTTATGTTTCATTCAAATCAACCTCTGGAGAGGAAGAGCGGGAGATTAAAAAAAAAAAGAGAGACTCTAAAAGCCCCTGATCTCACAGAATATTGTGTAGTAACTAATAGAATCTAAAGTAAAAGCAGAGTCTTGATGGAGATTTTGAATCACTCTCAGGTCAAGGCTCGCTGGCTTTATTTCGCACAATAATTGAGAATTATTCCTTTAATCAGGCACTACACCTCACAAAGCTTTTCGCTGGCAGTGGAATGGCTTGTGAGAGTGTTAAGATGGTAGTTTATATTGTTGATGGACCTATCAAAAGCAAGACATAGAAACAAATAAAAAATGACAAAAAAAAGTGTCAAATAAAAAATAAAAAAATGCTTCAAAGCAACTACAAGGCTGAACAAGTATGATGGGTGATGTTCTTTATCATAAAGGTACACTGACACCTTCATTATTTAGTGTGAAGGATTCTGGACTAATAATAAAAGATTGTAAAGATCTTTTGGCAAACCAAAACTATGCAAAAAAAAACTAAAATAAAAAAATACAATAAAAAAATAAGTCACTTCCATTTGGGCCACTTTGTACATTAAACATAGTTAAATTTATTATATATAAATATGAAATAATTAAGATTCATTTTTAAAAATTATTAATTTATAATTTAATATTTTTTAAAAAGTAAAACTACTTAAAATGAGCAAGCATTTACTCAAAAAGACAGTAAAACAGTAATACTGTAAAATAGTATCACTATTACAGTGACATTACTGTTTTCTATTTTAATATATTTTACAATGTAATTCCTGTGATGGCAAAGCTGAATTGTTAGCATCCATTACTCAACATCTTTAGTGCAACATGATCTTTCAGAAATCATTCTTATATGCTGTTTTGGCTCTCAAGAAACACACACACACACACACACACACACACACACACACACACACACACACACACACACACACACACAC